GATGAATGTTTCTTCTTTAACTCCTTAGTTGTCAGAATTCCATACAGTTTGTTTTTCTGGCACTTCTGGTTATTTTTTGTTTTTAAATTCATTGTTTTTCTTCTTTCAATTGTGGAAGGAAGCAAAGTGTATCTACCTACACCTCCATCTTGGCTGGAAGTCTGTGTATTGTCTATGGCCATACCACCCTGAATATGCCTGATCTCATCTGATCTCAGAAGTCTGTGTATTTATTTTTACATGTTTCAACCTCAGTCACCTTCTGCCCTGGATGGTGTGGCTCAGTGAATTGAACCAAAGGATCGCTGGTTTGATTGCCAGTCAGGGCACATGCCTGGGTTGTGGGCCAGGTCCCCAGTAAGGTGCACATGAGAGGTGACCACACATTGATATTTCTCTCCCCCTTCTCTTCTGTCTAAAAATAAATCAATAAAATCTTTAAAAAATTAAAAAAACAATTTACTGATTTAAAACAAATAAACCTCAGTCTTCTTCAAAGTACTCTCCATTTGATGCAGTACACCTGTTGATATGTTTTTTCCATTGCTCAAAACAGACTTTGAACTCATTGATTTGATGCCATTTAGTGCTTCTGCTGGTCTTTTTTGTTTGTTTCACCTCTTCCATATCAGCAAAATGCTTCCCTTTGAGGACTTTATTTATCCAGAGGGGAAAAAAGGGCACTTGGGGTGAGATTGGGTGAATAGGGATAGTAACGCTGGGGGTCATGCTGTTTTTTTTATAAAAAACTGCTGAAAACTCTGCGTGGTGTGGGCAGGTGTGTTCATAAATCACTCATCATGAAATAATCAAACACATTGAAAGAGTCATCAAGAATATTAACTGGCCCTGGCTGGTGTAGCTCAGTGGATTGAGCACGGGCCTGCGAACCAGACAATCGCGGTTCGATTCCCAGTCAGGGCACATTCCTGGGTTGCAGGCCAGTTCCCTGCAGGCCAATTCCCAGCAGGGGACGCACGAAAGGCAACCATACATTGATGTTTCTCTCCCTCTCTCCTCCCCTTTCCCTCTAAAGATAAATAAATAAAAAAATTTAAAAAAAAGAATATTAACTAGAACTGAACACAGCCTTTCAAAACACTTTATAGATATGTGATTTTATGAATACCAACATAATTAAACTTTTTAGCATTCTCTACTTTAATTTGTTGAAAATATATTTTATTGATTATGCCATTACAGTAGTCCCATTTTCCCCCTTCATTGCTCCACCCTGCACACCCCTTCCCCCACACCCCGCCTTTAGTTCATGTCCATGTGTCACAAGTTCTTTAGCTTCTACATTTTCCATATTATTCTTGTCCTCCCCCTGTCTATTTTCTACCTACCATCTATGCTACTTATTCTCTGTACCTTCCACTTTAAATTATTTATTTATTTTTTAATTTTATTTAGTTATTTTTCAAGTACAGTTTTTTTGTCTATTTCTTCCACTTTAATTTTTAATAATGTTTTATTTATTATGCTATTACAGTTTTCCCAATTTTCCCCCTTTATCTCTCCTCTGCCCTGCATTCCTTAACCCTCCAATGTTATCTCCCTTGGTTCATGTCCATATAAGTTCTTTGACTTCTCTGTTTTCTATACCATTCTTAACCTCTCCCTGCCTTTTTTTGCCTACCAATTATGTTTCTTTTCCCCTGTACCTTCTCCCCTATTCTTCCCCTTCACTCTGCCCACTGAAAACCATCCATGTGATGTCTATCTCTCTGATTCTTTTCCTGTTCTATTGTTTGCTCAATTTTTGTTTTTGTTTTAGGTTCAGTTGTTGGTAGTTGTGAGTTTGTTTCCATTTTACTGTTCATAGTTTTTCAACTTCTCTTATTTCTTAGATAAGCACCTTTAACATTTAATAAATCTCTTCTTAACATATAATAAAGGCTTGGTAATGATGAACTCCTTTAACTTGACCTTATCTGGGAAACACTTTATCTGCCCTTCTATTCTAAATGATAGCTTTGGTGGACCAAGTAATCTTGGATGTAGGTCCTTGCCTTTCACCGTTTTGATACTTCTTTCCAGCTCCTTTTTGCCTGTAAGGCTTCTTTTGAGAAAACAGCTGATAGTCTTATAAGCACTCCTTTGTAGGTAACTCTCCTTTCCTCTTACTGCATTTAAGATTCTTTCCTTACCTTTAATCTTGGGTAACTTAATGATGATGTGCCTTGGTGTATTCTTGTTTGAGTCCAATTTCTTTGGGAGTCTCTGGGCTTCCTGGACTTCCTGGAAGTCTGTTCCTTGGCCAGATTGGGGAAGTTTTCCTTCATTATTTGTTCAAGTAAATTTTCAATTTTTTGCTGTTGTTCTTGTCCTTTTGGCACCCCTATAATTCAGATACTGGAATGTTTAAAGTTGTCCCAGAGTTTTCTAGGCTTCTCCTCATTTTTTTGAATTCTTATTTCCTCATTCTGTTCTGGTTGAATGTTTATATTTTCTTTTCGTTCCAAATTGTTGATTTGAGTCCCAATTTCCTTCCTGTCACTGTTGGTTTCCTGTATTTTTTCCTTTATTTCACTTTGGGTAGCATTCCTTTGTTCCTGAATTTTGCAACTGAGCTCAAGCAGTTCTGTGAGCATCCTAATTACCAGTGTTTTGAACTTTGCATCAGATAGTTTGTCTATCTCCTTGTCGCTTAGCTGTTTTTCTGGTGTTTTAATCTATTCTTTCATTTGGGCCATGTTTTGGTGCACCTGTAATGTTGTCAGGGGGAGGAGCCTTAGGTATTCTTCAGGGCTGGATAACTCTCTTTGCTGTGTTGTGGCGCTATCTTTGGGGGACTGGTCGGAGAGGGAACAATGCAGTTGACTTGCTTGGCTCTAGCCCACTTTCAAACAAACTCTCTCTCATGTGAGACAGGGAGTTTCTACCACCATAACAATCCCCCTGTAGTTTCCAGCTACCTTTGACCACCACCTTGCTGTAGGTCCTCTTGGCCATCCTTGTCTTGCTCTCAGTTTGCCACCTTGCTGCAGGTCCTCTCTGCCCACCCAGTTACCTGTCTTTGTTCCTCCTACCAATCTGGATGAATATTTATTCAAATCCTTGGTTGTCAGAGTTCCATGCAGTTTGATTGTCTGCTACTTCCAGTTGTTTACTGTTTTTAGATTGGTTCTTATCTGCCTTTTGTTTCTGTGAGGAAGTGAATGGTTTCTACATACACCTTCATCTTGGCCACAAATCCCCCAGCACCCTCTGCTTTTAATTTCTAGTTTATTACTTTGTTATTTGTAGCCTAGATAGCAGTTATGCTTTGGAGAAAATATAGCTCTCTTCAAGCATTATTATCAAGTTTTGCCACAAATATGCTATATATACCAGGAGAGCTCCCAAAATGTACCGGTTGCCACATAGGGAAATTTACTAAAACTAAGCTGTATTTTCCTTCTAGATTCCTTTCTGACTTTCACTTGTGATCACCTTTCTAATACCAGCTCTACCAGAAATGGGCTATGTAATGATTTTAGGTAATCCAGAACTAAATTTTTTACATCTTTAACTTCTGGTCTTTCCTTTTATTTTCTTCAAAATAATTAGGTTGAGGTGATGAATACTAAGTTGTCATAGTTCTATGAAATTAAAATAAATAGATATATTTATATAAAACTTAGCAATATGTCAATAATAATTGTTATTAAAGTTACACAAATGTTTATAACTGCCATTAATTGGCTAACATTTGCTTTCTTGCCTTTTAAGTAGTAAGTGGAAAGTGACTAGAATAACCTTTTGAAATTGTTTATATTTATCATGGTATGATTAAACATAAGAAGGAATTTATTCAGTACAAAATTATTTAAGCTGTTTGAACTAAGTTTAGTACTTACCACACACGTGCACATATACACTCACACATACACACTGAGGATATGAATAAAAGTCTACTGTACCTTAACCTCTAGGGGAGTGTGCCTCCAATTTATGGCCCATTAGTTAATTGTCTTGTAGATACAGGTGCTTTCTCTTTCTTAGATGCTGCTTAGGCTGTCACTGTGGATAGGATCCAGTGAGAAGTTTCACAAATTAGGTCTAGAGTCTCTGGGCAGGAACTGCGCCTTTAAGCCTTAGGAAAATAAAGGAACTGCTTGTGGCTCTGTAGTTAAAAGAGCATGTGTCATGAAGCTATGCGCCCTTGGAGTTCTTAAACTTACTAGTGGTGAATTTGCTTTCTCTTGGGGTTCACATTCTTACTATGATTGGCTATATACCAGCTAACTAATTCTAATGTGTTGATCTAATGATATGTTAATACATATGGAGAGCCTGTTACCACACCTATCTGGCTGTACAGACAATGTACATCAAGTGACCTTACTTTATAGATGCTGATAAGGTACTGATGAGTGGACCCTCACTAGTAGTTAGGCAGCTCTCCTTTGCTGGTGTTGATAAAGTGCTATAGTCAGAACTAGGACTTGAGTCACAGTTCAAATTGTAATTCTGAGTAGAGGAATTATTGGTGATTTTCTCTTTATTTTTTTGTTTTCTACATTAAACATATTTTTCATATTGATGTTACAATCAGGAAAACTATAATTTTTTTATGTTAAAGAGAAAGTCTTTTTCTGGTTAATAAATTTCTATTCTGGATAATCCTGCCACTCTTCTATTCTAGAACAAATCTGAAAGCTTCTTTGATATATTTTTACCATTCATTACCCCTGTACCATATTTATTTCATTTAACCTTTGCAGACCTTGTTTCCTGAATTTATTACCATATTTCCTGTTAAACTCTTGATGTCAGAATGTTTAAACCCCACTTCATCACTGAGATTACATTACCATGTGTGAGAAATTCAGAGTGATTTGTATTTTTCCACTCACATATTAAAGATTTCTCCATATTGGTGAATACTGGGAATTTTGTTGTATTAAATTAGTTTTCTCTAGATAGTTGTTTGATCCTTTTGAATCTCAGCCATTCCTACACTTGAAAACTCACAAATGATGCGTTTACATTTCATTTTTGTTCAATTGCAGGGGGAGAGAGGATTTCCAGGTTTGGAAGGCCATCCAGGTTTGCCTGGATTTCCAGGTCCAGAAGGGCCTCCAGGGCCTCAAGGACAAAAGGTATGTGCCAAGTTGACAACCAGCCAATACCATAGGAATTATGCTATCTCAAACGTGGAAATAAATATAAAAGCAACTTAAAAAGTTACTGAATTATATAGCCAGAAACTGATATTTAAATAAAACAATAGAATGCCTGTGCATCTTATGATTGTTTAAAGAAATGAATATTACCACTATGTTCAAATGCTTTTGGAAGATGCTGTTAATTATATGTGGTTATTGGGATTCTTAACAAAAAATAAGTATGTCAGGATAATTAGCTGTACTGAAAAGAGCTGAACTGCCAGGTGTCAAAGTAGCTTAAGACAGCCCAAATCACATGAACAGTCAAACATTTAGTGACTTACTGTGACAGTATAAGCAAAAAGTTAAACCAGAGAAAGTGCCCACTTCCCTACTGTTCCATTTTTACCAATGGAAGAGCACCAGTGAAAGTCAGATGGATCAGTGCAGACATGGAAAATTGTTTCACTGCTGAAAGACCTTGGAGCAAAAATCTCCTGCTATTTTTTATGGACCTTGAGTGGGTTGGGGGAAGGGAAAGGGTGAAGAGCTAAGAGTGGAAAACTGCTAAGTCAGAATACAAAAAAAAAAGTCCTCAAGGATATCCCCTCCCTCTTTCCTGTGTCTTTATTCAGTTTCCAGGGGCCTTTCAATGCATAAGTGTGTGACCAGTCAGGGGGCACCATGTCTGGTGTGATATTGGCACCTTTCTGCTCTGAGGCCTACCATGAGGCCTTTGTAATTATTTGTGGTTGGGCCTGAAAAATCACATGTAGGATTTTAGCCATGAGTCATACTTCTCAATTCCATCACTTGATATTTAGGAACCTGGGCTACCCCATTCTGGGCCTGGATGAGTTGGACATTGAGGGGCTATGCCAAAAACTGGATAATTAGTTTGAGGCCAGAGTAAATCATAGTCATAATTAAAGTCATTCCAACTCTTCCTGGGTGACTGAGTATAACCATGAGCCCCAACCATTGCCAATCCAGTAATAAATGGCTCACAGATTACCCGATCTACTTTAGAAAGCAAAGAGGCTTTTTTCTTAAGTCTTATGATGGACACTTCTACTTTGCCAGTTTCAGTGATCTATATTCAACACAAAGCACTGGCAATAGTAAGACCCCTCCTTGGCTGGCTGGCAGGAAGTTAAAGGCTGTACTGTGATTCAATATTTCTCAGACCAAGGATTTGAGACCACCCTGTTGTGCTTCCAGAGCTGAAGTAGTATCATTAATGACTTCAATAGAGGTAAATGACAGGTTCCAAAATATATTTTCTAATTGAATGACCCTGACAGCAAGAAAAGTTGCCTAGAGCATACACATGAGCAATAGATACCATATGACAAATCCCCTGAGTAATTAGAGTATATCTGGTTTGGGAGTTCTCCTTATATTCTATTTAGTGTGATATGTTCAATGGGAGGGACTGGTTTGAGTATCTGGAAGTTGTTTTATTAATGCCCCATATGTAAATGTTATATTGGTAGGAATTTCAAAAGCCTGGATTTTAAAAAAGAAATAATACCACAAGGGGGACACTCACAGTGACACTCACAGATTACCATTGGTGAATCAGCCAGAAGACCTTCCTAGTGGATAGATTCAGTTCTTGAATGGAATTGGAAAATGTGTGTATAGTGGGGGAAGTCTAAGAAAGGAGAAGGCCACCTATTTGGAGGAAAAAAAGACATATCTCTTTTCTCAGAAACTTAAGTTAATCATATTTCTGAGGAGGCATCTTGTTTCTGTAGTGTCAAGGTACAACTGTGGCAGTGCATCAGGTTCCATGTAATAAGGTTGAGGTATCTGAGTTAGTAAAAAGTTCCATGTATATAGAAGTGTCTGTTTATTGCATTTCATGGTACAGCCATCAAACATTAATCTGCAGGTCAAGTGGTAGGTGACATATACAGCATTTTGTAATACTTAGAGTGATGACAACTAAATGGGACAAGTATTTCAATGAATTTGGTGAAGTAGAAATCATAACATTATTTTGTAGGAGATAAAGAAGAGAGAACAGGCCCTGGCTGATATGGCTCAGTGGACTGAGTGCTGGCCTGTGAACCAAGGGGTCCCAGTTCAATTCTCAGTCAGGGCACATGCCTAGATTGTGGGCCAGGTCCCCAGGTGGGGGAATGTGAGAGGCAACCACACAATGATGTTTCTCTCCTTCTCTGTCTCCATCCCTTTCCCTCTCTAGAAATAAACTAATTAAATCTTTAAAAAGTTTTAAAAAGAAGAGAGAACAGATCCATATTATGCCCTCCCTCTCCAGTTCCTAATTTCATAGGCCTGAAGATGCTGTCGTCCTATCAGTTGGGAATGCTTTTCCTCATTGATTGCAATGGGAGCAGTCTCTCCTATACCATGAGCAAGGATAGCATCTTACATGCATGTTAAGATAGGGAATGGGAAGAGATAATAATGAATTGTAAGACTGGGAGAAAATTATGCTCTTTTAAATGTGTCTTTTGGCTTATCATCCTTTACCATCTATATTAGGTAGTCTGGTGAACTGATATATGAAAGGGCCTGTTCTGTTCATTTGCCTGGAAAGTAAATTTGTTTCAAAACTTATTTTTTCCATGTAATAATGGTCCATCATGTCACTAGAATATTAAGGAAATCAAATGAATACTCATTATGTAGTCCTCTGAATAAAGGGGGAAATTAATTTAAATGCATAAATACTTTTTTAACACTTACATATACCAGAGCATAGATTGTAGGGATATGGTTGAGTGTGATTTCTGAGGAGGTGACAGTACATGAAGGTGTTTTGTTAGATTTAAGAGCATGAGGGACCTGTGCTAAACTTCCAAAATAGAACATTACACTGATGAAAAAGCAAGACTCTACATGATTGCATAGACTTTAAGCAGGTGGGGCACTCAAGAGAATTCCCTATATCCAATGAGGTTCAAAAACAGTAGGTTTCCTGTGCATCCAGGAGTGGCACAGAAGTAGCAGAGAGATGTGAAATAGTAAAATGGATGGAATTGAGCACCAACTCAGTAGTAATCCAGACAAATGATTGGCATAGGCTATCTCAATGAATTCCAGCTTAAGGTCACCATAATTTAGGCAGTCTTGTGAAAATGAGGTGGGAACTCCAATTGAGAGAAAAATTCAGCCGTATTAGTGAAATGACTGCTTTGAAATAGAAATTAAGAGTCCCAACTTTGGCAATGACTTAGGTCTAGTGTAATAAAAAAGATAGAAAAATAAAGTTATATTTTTTGTATCTGAGTTTATCTGGAATTAGGGACTCCATTTCATGTACACCATGCTTGCTGAGAGGTAATAGTTGTATCAGATTAAAAAAGTTAACTACATCAGAATTTCTTTGGAGTAATTTAACATTAATTGGGACTATTCTATAGTACTATGATAGTTTTTAAAGGTGTGGTTGTATGCAGTTTAAATTTAAAAGCAGGCTTGAATGAGAGAGGTGAGGGTGGGAAGGGCAGGGGAGAATAAAGGGGTGAAATGGGAACAACTGTGATTGAACAATAACATAAAAAGAAATTAAAATAAATAATAAATTTAAAAGTAGTCCAATGTTTTCCTTTGATTCTATCTCAATATCCATAAATTGAGAAGATGGACTGCTTTCTAAACTTTTGGGATTCTGAATTTGAAACACCTCATGCTTCTGTCTTTACTATGACTTCATGCTTCCCAACATATATGAATTTGTTCTTTTCATGTAATTGGGTATTATAGTACATGTATATATTAACATATACACATATACTAAATCTGTATACTCTCATATATGAAAGTAGAATATACAAAACATATATACATGTGAGTGTATATATAAAAATTTCCAAAGGATTTATTTATTATTAAAATAAATTTAAATTAATTTTTGGTATATCTATATCTACTTCATTCAAAATAAATGAACATAAGAAGGTATAAAATGAAAAATATGCCCTTTCCACCTGTGTCAGTTAGCCACTGAATTCTCCACTAACCTAACAGGTACCCATCTATGTTATTTTCTTGCAAATATGCCTGATAATTTTTATGGATATACATGTGCATATGAATATATACATACACATGCATGCATATATATATTCAGACAATTTTAATCCCTTTTATTTATCAAATGGTAGTATATTTAACACATTTTAACTTTGCTTTTCACTTAATATATATTATAGATATTCCACATCAGTATGCACAAACCTCTTCTTTATTTTTTATAACTGCATTTTATATCATTATGTATATATAGCATAATTTATTATGAGAGTCCCCTATTGATCATTTAGGTAGTTTTCAATTCTTTTGCTAACTATAAACAGTATTGCTAAGATATAATTTTGTTAATTTTTAATTATAGTTTTATTTAAATATTATTTTGTATTAGTTTCAGGTGTACAGCATAGTGGTTAGATAATAATATACTTTACAAAGTGTTCACCCCAATATTTTTGGTACCCCCAGCATCATACATAGTTATTACAGTATTGTTAACTATATTCCCTATGCTGTACTTTATACCCCTGTGACTATTTTGTATCTGCTAATTTGTACTTCTTAAACCCTTCACCTCTTTCACACAGTGAGATATACAACTTTAATAGATTTATTTTCCCCAGTCAGATATTATCTCTGTAAGATTACTAGAAGTGGTATTGCTGGATCCGGGGGTACATGTATTTATTATATATCTCTATGGATATTGCCAAATTGTCTTCCCATGAATGTATATGAGTTACTTTTTCCTGTTTTATTTTTATTTTTCAATTACAGCTTACCTTCAATATTTTTCTATTGGTTTCAAGTGTACAGCATAGTGATTAAACAATAATATTGTATGATTTGATTCTTTTTTGTTTTGTTTTGATTTTTTATTATTGTTTATGCTGTTACAGTTGTTCCAATGTTTCCCCCTTCATCCACCCCTGCTCATCCTGCCTCCCACTTCCATAATCAATCCTCACAGCATTATCCATGTCCATGGG